TTGAAGCATCGAGTCACAAAAGAAAGCATATTTTCTTCTTGACTTTCACTTCTCTAACAAGTTCCAGAAGGACGGCTCGTCTGCTTTTTGTCCTGCTTTGGTTTTCTTTTTGTTGCTTTTTTTTCCTGTTTGGATTTTAAGCGTTTAATTTGAGAACAAATGTGTAACTCATCGCATGAGGCTGCACTTTGTGCCATAAAATGTAGGTTTATGTGTTCTATCTATCTGTCTGTCTGTCTGTCTGCTATGGATTCTGAATGCTTTGATAAGGCATGTTTGTGTTTTGATGTTTTTGTCATGTTTGTAGTAAAAAACTGGCATACAGTTTCTGAAATGTGTTGTGTTCTTTTTAGGTATTTTAAAACACTGGATTTTGCCTACGTAGACAGCATTTTGGAGCACCATGCTTGCAGTTGCACATTTTTGATGACCAAAATGCTGCCTAGATCACTAGTTTTGTCTGGTTCCTTGTCCTGACCAGTCATTCTCTTCCCAGTGCATCCGATGTGGCAGGAGCCGCTCGCCATTCCCGGTGGAGATCGCCAGTCACCAATTGACATTGTGGTGCGTAAAAGCATCTTTGATCCGCAGCTCAGACCCCTGAAGGTGCAGTATGACCCGAGGACCTGCCAGCAGATCTGGAATAATGGCTACTCTTTTCTGGTCGAGTACGACGACACCACTGACAAATCCAGTAAGCTATCTTCATTGTATGTACTACAGTTACTATAATAAACCTATGTTGACTTGGAATTAACAGCTTCTATCGTTACTAAAATTAAAGAAAATAAAGTGACACAAAATGAATGGAAATCTTGGTCCCATATGAATTTATTCTGATTTTACAATAGTAAAACAATTTCCAGTGTGACTGAAAAGAACAAATTAACGGTTCTGTGGTGTGAGAAAACTGTGAACTGAAATGAACCTCTTTTAGCTCTGAAAGGAGGACCACTGGAGGATCAGTTCAGACTATGCCAGTTTCATTTTCACTGGGGGGAGAACAACACCTGGGGCTCTGAACACTCCATAGACCGCCGCCTTTACCCTGCTG